GCAGTTTGCACGGCGAATTCTAGCAGTAAATGAAGCTGTTTTTCAAATTTTTGTCTCAAACGACCATTTATTCCTGTCACTCTGCTGGAGATGGGTGAAGGGCTCAAAGAGCAGAAAAGTTTGAGTCACAAAAGTTTCTTCACGTTATATATCCCAAAAGCGCTCAAGCATTACTCTGAATGCAGGGACTTCAGCCTGAGTGAACCAGAAAGGATACACAACACTTCCCTAGATTAACCTGTCAATGTCAAAGAAACTTAATTACTCCGAATATCAGAGATGGGTGAAGAGCTCAAAGAGCAGAAATGTTTGAGTCACAAAAGTTTCTTCACGTTATATATCCCAAAAGCGCTCAAGCATTACTCTGAATGCAGGGACTTCAGCCTGGATGAACCAGAAAAGATAAACAACACTTCCCTATATTGACCGTGACTGAAAAGCTAAGTTTGTTATATATCCCAGAAATGCTCAGGCATTACAATGAATGCCAGGACCTCAGCCTGGGTGAACCAGAAAGGATAGACAACACTCCCCTATTTTTATGGATGATACCAGGAGTATTTGGAGAAGTCATGTGCAAAGGTGTGGTATACATTGCCTATGTCACATTAACAGCGTCCATCCTCTGCCTGACAGTCATAGCATTGGACAGGTATTATACCATTGTTCATCTCCTCCGCCACAATCCTTGGTTCAGAAAGCCTAAACTGACTGTACCATTTATTTGGATCTTTTCACTGGCTTCAATGTCCATTTTTCCAGTTAGTCAAACCGTGGAAGACCACAATTCCCAATGAATGCTATCTGTTTATGTTTTGGGTGATCCATATAAGGCTATCCGTGGCCTATTCCTCTACCTTGTGGTGATCAACCATCTGATCCCTTTGATTGTGATGTCTTTATTGTATACTATTATTGCAAGGAGGTTATGGTTCCATGGTGCACATCGAAATGAGCATTCGACTGAAAATCGAGAGCAACAAGAAACCCTAAAGAGAAGAATAGTTTGGATGCTGATTATTGTTACCTCCACTTTTGCCCTTTGCTGGCTTCCAGCCCATGTGGTTCACATGATATTTGTCATGCAAGCATGGAATATTGAGGTGACTCTTCAGCCGATTGTCATGTTTGTGTGCTTTTGGTTTGGTCACGCCAACAGCGCCATCAATCCGTGGCTGTACATTTTTCTGAGCACCAAGATCAATACCGCATTTAAAAGTATGGTGTGTAGAGAAACCCGCCAGTCGCCTCCGAGTAACAGCGTCATAACATCAAATGCTTTCTTACTACCTGAACAAGAAACTGTCAAGGAAGAATCAAGGCTTTGATCTTTTCCATCATCTGTAACATTTACTAATAATTTGATGACTACGTGAAGAAGAAATCCTCGCATCAGCGTCAGTATCTAAGCAACTGTGTGTACCTACTCCTCTTAGTTAGGGGAAGAGTAGGCGCGCAATGGCTTGGATAATGAAATTGATCCAAACTTTAGTAACACTGATCAGACCAACAAGATAGATATTAAGTAAATACATATTTTGCATGATGAATTTTAAGATGGGAGAGGAGGATTTCGAAGACATCAGGAGCTAGTGCGACATTCCCATTTTTAGTGATTTCCTATTTTCGTTCCTAATTACATTTTTATGCTTCTACATACACATTTTTCTTATTTTTTTTTTCGCAAAGAGCTATATCTAACTGCAGACAGTACTGTTTCGGCCTTCTGGGCCTCATCAGTGCAGTGCTAATGCTAGGATGGAGGAGAACCAATATGGTCACCCCAAACGATCCAACCTTTGTGGTATCGTCTAAGCCATGCCAGAGTGCTCAAACTAGAGTACACTAGCGAGCATGCGCAATTGCAGAGCAATGACTCATCCTAGTTAGAGTGCTCAATTTGGACATGAAAGCAAAGCTTTGTATGCCAAAGAGCTATATCTAACTGCAGACAGTACTGTTTCGGCCTTCTGGGCCTCATCAGTGCAGTGCTAATGCTAGGATGGAGGAGAACCAATATGGTCACCCCAAACGATCCAACCTTTGTGGTATCGTCTAAGCCATGCCAGAGTGCTCAAACTAGAGTACACTAGCGAGCATGCGCAATTGCAGAGCAATGACTCATCCTAGTTAGAGTGCTCAATTTGGACATGAAAGCAAAGCTTTGTATGCCAAAGAGCTATATCTAACTGCAGACAGTACTGTTTCGGCCTTCTGGGCCTCATCAGTGCAGTGCTAATGCTAGGATGGAGGAGAACCAATATGGTCACCCCAAACGATCCAACCTTTGTGGTATCGTCTAAGCCATGCCAGAGTGCTCAAACTAGAGTACACTAGCGAGCATGCGCAATTGCAGAGCAATGACTCATCCTAGTTAGAGTGCTCAATTTGGACATGAAAGCAAAGCTTTGTATGCCAAAGAGCTATATCTAACTGCAGACAGTACTGTTTCGGCCTTCTGGGCCTCATCAGTGCAGTGCTAATGCTAGGATGGAGGAGAACCAATATGGTCACCCCAAACGATCCAACCTTTGTGGTATCGTCTAAGCCATGCCAGAGTGCTCAAACTAGAGTACACTAGCGAGCATATATATATATATATGTAAAAAGAGTGTGTTGTGAAGTTTGTGAAAGGAGTGACTAAGTGTGAAAGCTGTAGAGATAAACTGTGAATGGAACATAATAATGGCTCTAATGATGGACCGTATAAACAAAGGGTGTAAAAGAGCGTCAAAACGAGATGCTAAAATACGAAGAAGATCTGCCTACAAAATAAAATTCCTCCCTTCGTCCAAAAAAGCTTCCTTGCGTCAAGCACAGACTTGCCCAGATTCTACCATGTAGTCAAGACCCACAAAGCAGGCCCCGATATTGAAATACGACCTATCGTATCCAACATCAATGGACCCACCCAATGCATTTCATGGCTTCTTGCCAACGTCCTCAAACCGATGCTGAAGAATGTCCCAGCCCATTTGGAAAGCAGCCTCGAGCTCATTAGATGTATCGAAGCTGGCGACCTCACCACAAACAAACAGCTACCATATCCATGCAGCTTCGATGTGGTATCCCTATACACCCCAATACCAATACAAGAAGCCATCACCAACGCCACAGATAGAATCCAGAACCCAATACTCCACCTCTCTAAACAACACATCTCAGACCTCCTCCAAGTCACGCTAAATAACATGTACTTCTCCTTCAAAGATCGAGTTCTTCGCCAAAGAGAAGGCCTACCCATGGGCTCTAACATCTCAGGTATACTGGCCATCCTGTTCATGGACAAACTAGAAAGCATCGCCCTCACCTCACACCTAATGATAAGCCCCTACAAGAGATATGTTGACGATATTTACCTCCAGACAACCAATGAAGAAACAGCAGATCACTTCCACCATGTAATAAACAATTTACACCCTAATCTGAGATTTGAAAATGAAAAATTGAAAAACCAGAAAACACCCAATGGCATGTCACTATCATTGCTCGATTTCAAAGTCACCATATCCAAGGATGGCAACAGCTCCTTCGAATTCTACCAAAGACCAGCCAAGAAACCACTATTCGTCCACTATCAATCAGCTATCCCCACCAAATCCAAACTCGCCTCCATCCGCAACGAGCGAAAACGCATCGAGGACAGATGCTCCTCACATATATCTGCAACACAACACCTAAACGCATTCGACGGCATCCTTCGCCTCAACGATTACCCAGAGAGCAATATAGAACAATCAAAACACCCACAGCACCCTCAAAGCAACTCTCAGCCTGCCAACACAGAATGGTCGTACCTCAAGATCTCATACATTTCTGAACGACTAAATCATAGGATTTCCAACATCTTTAAGAAAGAAAACATCCCGATACGCATTTCCCACAAGTCCTTTACCCTCAGACACGCCCTATCCCAAACCCCCAAAGTACGCAAATGCACCAGAGACAAGTGCCCCATCTCTAACACCGGATTATGTTTACGACGAAACGTGGTATACCAGCTCACATGTAACAGCTGCAAACAACAATACATTGGTCGTACGAAACGCTTCATCCAAGACCGCGTAAGAGAACATCTCAACAATGGAAACTCGTCCGTGAAAAAACATATCTACTCATGCCAAAACAAAGACCATGAAAGCATTGATGTCGAGATCTTTATGAATGAAAACGACCCCGCCAAATCTACGCCTGTACGAAGCATTTTCCATTAGAATGTACAAACCTACACTAGATTTCCGGGAAGAATGTAGTGAATTCACAGACCTCCTATTTTAGCATCTCGTTTTAACGCTCTTTTACACCCTTTGTTTATACGGTCCATCATTAGAGCCATTATTATGTTCCATTCACAGTTTATCTCTACAGCTTTCACACATAGTCACGCCTTTCACACACTTCACCACACACTCTATTAATATACATATATATACAGCGCTCACGGACTATTTTCTTATCCCTGATGATTCCGTTGATCGGCGAAAGCTCGGATTTATGAAACATTTAACTTTTTACTGCAGTGTAAGGCTTCATTCGATTAATTTGTCTATATTTCAACAATGCTGCTGAAGGAGAACATGAACAGATTATTAAAAAACACTGAATTGTTTGTACAAGTGAATTAATAATTGTCTTATTCATACTAATGCCGTCCAGTTATGCTATTGAATTGCAAACGGTGTGATAAAAATGTTAATGAATGGTTCATGGACTATATTGAAATTATGAAGTTCATACATTTTGAACTGCAGTATTAGATACGTATGATGCACGATCTTCGCAGTAGAGACCGCTATTTATGCAATAGCGAAAATTAGACCTGAAAATAATCAGGCCTGTACGGGATTCGAACCACTGACCTTCATTTGTGTTGAAATCGGGGCCAACTGCAATGAATCCGTTGGTTGAAGACACGCAATTCAAACCATCAGTTGCCATAAGCTGCCCCTCAGGCTATTACCATGACAGACATATTCTATAACGACCGCAGTCTCTAACTGTGATCACAGTAACTGTTACTTACTTCTCAAAAATTATTCATACAGATGAAAGATTTTCAGGCATTAGCGGTAGCCTGATAAGTTACTTCAAGAGATGCTTTGTAAAAAGTTATTTGTTGGCACGTTCATTCCAATGTTCAAACGCTTCAAAGATGGGCGTATGTAAGTATATATTGTTGCCAACAATTAAGGGGTTGTATAGGTATGTGAAGGAAAATTGTCTTCTGTATCCATTCAAAACCCTTCGTAATCCTATGAAAATGTGTCTTAACTAAAGAGTAATAAAAGATTAACTAAAAGCACGCGTCTTTTATCAGATAGGTCGCCGAGTAAGATATCATTATAGACTCTCTGAGATGCGAAATGAACGTTTCTCTTAGAGGCTGTGTCCATTATTCTCACAAACAAATAATAAACGGTAATATGAGAGCAAGCCCACGTTATTAAAGCTGCAGGTTTCTCCTTCGACGGGAAAATTTGAGACGAATTGAGGAGAAGTTAGCTAGGAGTCTGGTGCTAACATTATAAGTCCTCGGTTCCTTGGAGAACTCCTAACGGCTCGCGCCACTAGTAATCGTCAATGACTATTAATGGGTTTATTTCGGAACCCAGCAACCATCTGTTTCAGTAAGCTCAGAACATTTTCTATGAGCTCCCTTTGTAAGCGAATTGAACGTATCTGTTATGATGAATTAGTTTAAGTAAGGTTATGTTGCATGAGGTCAAAGACATTCACGCAATACTATCCTTACTCGATCCGACCATAGTGAAGTAAACATTTTTTTCCAAATCACCTTGCACCCCATCCCTGTTCGTCATTCTTTGCTGAAGTTTAAGCTAAAGTTTTCTATGAGATTTTTCTCATTCCATTACAGCTTACCAACAGACGAAGCAAAAGGCGTGACATCAGTTCTTGAAGAGATTGAAGGGATCATTCTCACCGTCCTTTACGCCATAACGATGCTCGTAACATTTGCAGGGAATGGTTTCCTCATCTACATCGTGTGGAAGAAACCTGAGGTAAGATCACTGACAAGCTTTATGTTCGTCAACATGGCCATTGCCGATTTGCTGGTGGGATTGGTTGTGATGCCCTGGTCGATTGCCCAAGTACATACAGACGGCTTATGGATGATACCAGGAGTATTTGGAAAAGTCATGTGCAAAGGTGTGGTATACATTGCCTATGCCACATTAACAGCGTCCATCCTCTGCCTGACATTCATGACAGTCGATAGGTACTATGCCATCAGTCGTTCATCCCCTCAGCCGCTATCTTTGGTTTCGAAAAACTAAACTAACAATACTATGACCAAAATTGCTTGCTAGATACTTCTGTTTTGGGTGATCCATATAAGGCTATCCGAGGCCTATTCCTCTACCTTGTGGTGTTGAACTATCTGATCCCTTTGAGTGTTAATTCTATCCTGCACACTATAATTGCGAGGAGGTTATGGTTCCATGTCGCACCTGGAAATCAGCATTTAACAGGGAATCGAGAGCAACACGAAACTTCTGAGAGAAGAGTGGTTCGGACGCTCGTTATTGAAACCTGTGCGTTTTCCTTTTGCTGGCTTCCTGCACAAGTGGTTCACATGATATTTGCCATGCAAACATGGAATATTGAGGTAACTCTTCAGCCAATCGCTAGTCGAAATCAGTCGCTAGACATTTTAATTTACCTAATCATTCTAAGCAACATATGGCAATCTGCGGTCTTTCCTTACACTTAGGTAGCACGGAAAGCCGTAAAACTCTTGAACAAATGCTCATCTTTCAAACCGGCAGTCTAAATCCCACAGGTATCAACGAACGCTTTTCATTCCACTAATTTATTCGTGTTTTTCTCGTTGCCATGTTCCCACCAATAACGTAGCTCCATTTTCTGCCTTTAAAAGCACACACAACCCACAATTCCTCTATTCGCTCCGACGAAGGGCTAACGCTCGAAACGTCAGCTTTTGTAATCGTTACGGTGGCCAATTTACCATTTCAACTTTGTTGATATATCCAAATTATTTCGTTACCCCCACCGACGCAGCCCCAAACAGTT